GCGGTTCAGGTCAGCAACGTGAACAGAGTTTATAGTTCCCATGAACCAGCTTATCCGAGAAGAATCCTCAGTTTCGAACGCCATCTTGAACCTCATCCCAGAACACCACTGAATCCTCATAGCCCCTTTCACGGCGGAGGCCTTGACACAGAACTCCGGCGTGCTGACACGCGGGTAATATACGACTTCAAACGGCTGCCCATTGGCCGCACGAACCGCAGCCTCAACAACTGCTTCAGGCCTCACCCTTCCAGTCCCTCTCATATTCCCACCACCAGGACTGGAATTCCCACACCCATTTCTACCCATCTTGCTCTCGTCCTCCCTCAAGAACACCGAGAACCCGCCATAGCCATTGTTCCACCCAGAAGGCGGTTCGGGTCCGCCACCAATCCCTCTCTTGGCTCGCCTAATCCCCACACAAATATCCCCAGTTTCCGTCCTCAGGAACACAATTGAGTCTCCAGCAACCAGCTTCTTCTGGTTAACAAAATTGCTCCACCCAGTGGTCAGCAAATGGCGTCTCGGCGTCCCTCTATATATATGCCTAAACTTCCAAAGCCCGCCGTGGACATCCTTGGCCACCACCGTCTGAACCGGCGGATCCGCCGAGTAATCCAACCGCGGAAAGATCGTCTCCGCGCAGTACCTCGGAACCGAAAAGCCCCCACCATTGTTGGCGTCCGATTGAGTGAGCGTCTTCGCAAACGAAGCCGGCTTCTCCGGGTTCTCAGACCCATCGGCGGACCCCAAAACCTTATCGTCGTCGGAATCAAGTTCATTGTTCCCCAAAGGCAAAAGCCTCATCTTGGCGAAAACCTCGTCGGTCTCAGGGTCGGCCATGAACTTGAGGGAAGCCACTCGGCAGAGAACGAAGGACGGGATCCTCATGGAAGCGGGGAAATCGACGTGGGCCTGGGCGTGCTCGGCGTGACCTTGCGGGAAGTAGAAAACTTTAGAGTTCATCGGAGGGATGTTCACCATCCCTCCCGCGCAGGCCTGCCATAGTTGGGGATCCAAGCTTTTCTCAACTACCTCCCTCATTAGGCCTTAATTTTCGATTTTCTTTCAGTTTCTTCTGCTTCTCTTCGTTCTTCCAAAGCAATAATACAAAAACCTTTACTTTTGCTATCTACCACTCCATAACTGATCAAAATCAAGGTTTTGAGGATTAATTTCGATTCGCCGAGTAAATGCTGGAGAGAACAAACAACCAAAGGACACGATCCACAGGTTTAATAAACAAAACCGCAAGCATTAAATCTGTGCAAACAGACACAAAATCAAAGATTGAATTCAAAAGAATGTAACTAACAAGAGAGAGAACAAAAACTGACTCCTTTTTCCAGATTCCCAAGAAAATCTTACCTTCCAAATCAAAAAATCTCGGGCGATTCCTTCCTCAATCACAGATTAATCCAAAACCGCCAAAGATTCAATTCGGTCAAATCTCGCGAATTCTGCAGAGTCCGAGAGTATTGTCGAGCTTTCCATGCAAGAGAGAAATGGAAGAAAAGAGGCGCTTTTGCTCTTTCTTTTTTCTTCTTTGATGATCAGAGAGTAGAAAATGGCGTTTTCTCCATTACTAAAGCTCCAAAGCTTAAAAACAACCAGCTTTCACTCACTTTCATTATCAGGTCCTTCTCTTTCTCTCTCTTACCTGAATATTTGTTCTTATCTTTTTTTTTTTTTTTTAAATTTCTCTTTCAGATCTGAATATAAATTGGGGGAAGTTCTGTTTCTTCTTCCTCTTTGATAATTGGAGTGATTATTTATTGAAAATATCGTATCGCGAGAAGATAGGGCGTACTCGCGAGAGATCAGTACTGGTTTTTACTATTGATATAGAGATCAGTACCTTTTTGGACTTTTTCCAGAAATAAATACTATTTTGGACTGCTCTGAAATCAGGGCAGTCAATGACTGGAAAGAGACAAACTTAACCCTTTGGTTAAAAAAAAAAACCTCTCTTTTGTCAAACAATCCGTCCACGACAAAGGCGCGGTGTTCCACACGTGCCCACGATTTTTTTATTTGAAGTTTTTTTTTTCTTGAATAGTATTTGCCCAACTGATCAAATTTTGTGCTCAATTTTATAGTAGATTTTTTTAAGACCCGTTTAGTTCGTAAATTTGAATTTTTAATTTGAGTTGATATGTGATTTTATATGAAAGTTTTTTATTGTAGTAAAAAAATTAAATGTGAATATTTCTGAAAGCTTTTTACTGTAACAAAACTCGAATTTCAAATTCAAATCGGTAAAATAAACGGAACCTTAAGTTAATTTTTATTTGTTAGTTCGTTGATAAACTCAAGTAAATTGACATTTTATTCTTAACATGATCGTTGGAGTGAGAATTGTACCAACTGAAACAATGATGTTTTGATCGGTCATAAACGACAACGTTAGAATTAAAAAAAATAGACAAGACAATGTTGTGGTAGTAAAAGGAAGAAGAACGAAATAATAGAAGATTGTAAAGAAAGTTCTAAAGATAAAGGTCTGGGATATTAAGGGCCAGTTTAGTTTGTTGATTTAAGTTTTTAATTTAAGTTAAGATGCGACTTTATGTGAGAACTTTTTACTATAATAAAAAAATTAAATGTGACTGTTTCTGATATCTTTTTACTGTAACAAAACTAGAATCGGTGAATACGTGAATCAATAGAACCGAACTAAAAATTAATATGATAGATTGATTAAATAATCTAAAAAAATTGATGATTTAGCTTGACTTAAGAGGAGTTTCCATTAGAACCCTTGCCTATAAATAGAAGGAAGGACGAAGAAAATGAGATTCTATTAAATTAATTCTTGAGAGAGCAAACTCCATATTTATTGTGTTTTGTTTCTTTTTTAAAATTTAAAATCTTTGAGAGTATTTGAATTAAAAAAATAAGTCTTCTATAGTTAATTTAGAGCTAAATCAGAAAATTGCTCTAACAACAATCGCCAATTTACGCTTTCTAATAAAGCATTAATTTACTCAATAAAAAAGAAAAATGTTAGTATTATTTTTTTTATTAATTTATATATTTATCGTTTAACACGTTAACGTTATTATTATAATATATTATTATTTAAATAAAAAATAAAATAGTCAAATAATTAATGAAAAATAGAAAAAATTAAAAAATATGATGCTAGCATGTAAAAGTGACGAGTAATCTCGTTTATTTTACTAATTTGAGTTTATAATTCGAGTTTTGTTATAATAAAAAAAATTTAAAAATAATCACATTTAATTTTTTTGTTATAATAAAAAATTTTTATATAAAATTATATTTTAACTCAAATTAAAAACTCAAATCAGTATACTAAACGGGTCTTCCGGACAAAGGACACTGATAAAGTACGTCCACGACACAACTTCGGTGTGCTCTCGTCGGCCAAAATTGTTTCTGCGTGAGTTGCACGCGCTAAAAGAGTCGTGGGTGGAACGTGAGGGGAAGTAGGTGGGGTCAGCTACTCTGTGGTGAAGTCAGACAAGTGAGGATGAATGTAGGTGTGGACCCTGTGGGTCTACTCAAGTAGCAGCGAACAAAAAATGAAAAAGGAAGGAAGAATAAAGTGGTTTATACGTGATTTTATGTAAAAAAAAATTTAAGTTAAAAATAGTAAAATTAGAAATGAAAATTTAAATCAGTGAAATAAATGAGATTTAAAAGATTGGTCTCATTTAGTTTACAGATTTAAGTTTTTAATTTAAGTTGAGATGTGATTTTAAAGACCCGTTTAGTTAACTGATTTTAGTTTTTAATTTGAGTTGAGATGTGACTTTACGTTAGAGTTTTTTACTGTAGTAAAAAAGTTAGATGTGACTATTTTTTAAAACCTTTTACTGTAGTAAAACTTAAATTTTAAACTCGAATCGGTGAAATGAACATGGCGTTTATATGAAAACTTTCACTATAACATAAAAAATTACATATGACTTTTTATGAGAAATTTTAACTATAACAAAACTGAAATTGAAAACCCGAATTGATGAAATGAAGGAGTCCGTAGACATATACCTGTATTACAACTCTAGAATTGAAATACGGTTTAGATATCTCATACATGGCCTAATTATTTTATGATATTTGAATAAAGTATTATGTAATTACATTATTACCTTATAATGATATATTACTTTTTTTTTTTTTTTTTACGTAATCTAGATATTGTAGGGCCCGTTCAGTTCGCTAATTCGAGTTGAGATGTGATGTTATGTTATAGCTTTTTACTGTAGCAAAAAAGTTAGATGTGACTGTTTCTGAGAGCTTTTTACTGTAGCAAAATTCGAATTCTAAACTCGAATCAGCGAAATGAACGGGACCTTACTTTTTTTCACAATTTATGTGATATCTAATCATAACAAAGTTGACAGTCAATTATCATTATGAAAAGAAAAAAAAAAACATCGTCAATTTCCCTCGCCCAATTAGTCCGATGGTTGGCTCTATTGTTAGGGATACTTCTTATGCGGTTTTGAGCGTTCAAGCCCCTATAGCTAAACCAAAATTAGCGGGCATTAACTCGCCGTTATTTGTCACATCTCAACTTAAATTAACGAATTAAACGAACCCTTATACATCTACTCAACAGGTATCGACGTTGAAGAATAAATACTTTCCAATGCGATCAGTTGTCCAACAACTACAATTAAACTCTTTAATGGCTGGCAACCTCGAGGGCAGCGATCATACTTACTTGATGATGATCCGATTGAACAATCTCTGATGTACAAGAATGCATATTTATGGACTTTTCACAAGTGCCCTCCTCTCAACCTGGAAACCCTGAAGTACTAATCACACTTGTTCTCAATATTGCAATGAACGACTAATGTTGTGCCATTTGATTTCTTTGTTTTGAATTCGAAATTGTTCTTCTACGCGATCATACGCAACGCCTTTTGCAATTTAAACTTGGATTTGAAAGCTGCATTATCATTTACATCGTAAGTATCTGGCATGTTTGTTACATCGACATGATCAATAACAAAATCATCATTATTCATTTGCATCTCACAAACATTCATGTCATCAACATCGTCTAAAAATTCTGCCATTATTACATCGTCAACTTCAGTACTATTGGTTGCCAATTCCATCAGTTAAAACGTCAAAAGTCTATATTAAAAAAAAAAAAACAATATCAGTGAAATCACATATCATTATATATACAAAATAATAAAAAGATATGACAATATATCTATGAAATAATAACAAGAGTAGTAATATATGTAAACACAAATTAAAGGGGAAAAGAAAAAAATCTTACACGGCTCTCAAAACTCAATAACCTCCCAAAAACTATTGCAGGGAGCCAAAGTAATTAAAAAACGTTAAAAGCTAGATGAAATAGGCGGTAATAATTTAAATTTTCAGATCTAAATGAATTGTTTTTTTTTTTTTTTTTTTTGCTGGAAGAGAAAAATATGGCAGTTAGTTTTAAACAAAAAATGCTCAGTAAAATAAATAGAAGGGCATTTTGGGGTGTCAAAAAATACAATTTAAAAAAAATACCATATATATGATATTTGAAAAAGTAAGCCACATTTTAATTCAACTCTTAAAAAAGGGTCACATATTGTAATTTTTACAAAGTGGTTTGTGTATGGGCCTTGTGTCAAACCATCCTTGAGATAAAAATAAAATAAAATAAAAAATTTAAAAACAAAAAAAATCTCAATTATTCAAGCCTTGTTCTTTTCACCGATTCGAGTTTTTAGTTTTAAGTTTTTACAGTTAAAAACTCTCAAAAAATGTTACATCTAACTTTTTCTGCTACAGTTAAAAACTCTAAGAAAATATCACATCTCAGCTTGAATCCGTAAAGCGAACAAGACCTCATTGTCGATTTTTTTTAAAATTTTTTATATTTAATTTATTTATCTCTAATAACATTTTATCATTAACATAGTTAAAATTAAACACTGATTGTTATAGAACATGAATTTGTTACATAGTTTAAATGTCCTGTTTATATACTTGATGCGGTTCAAAACAAATATATTACCTTTTTTTATAAACCCAAAATATTGTAATGCAAAATGCCCTGACTTTCACAGGCACATGGACCTTTTCTCTTTTGGGGGTTAAGGGTAACTACCCGACAATTTTTAAAAATTTTATCCGCCATGTTTATGGGCTTTGGAGCTTTATCTTAAAGCAAGAAAAGAAAACGAAAAGAAAAAGAAAAAGAAAAAGAAAAATCTGTCTGAGCCAATAATGCAAACTGCAAAGCATTTCATGGGTTAGGGACTAGGCTGTAGGCTGTAGGCTGGAGCTAGCTAGCCCTCCTTTATGTTAGCGGTGGCCATATTGCCTATAATAAGAATGTCACTGCTGCAACAACAATGCCTAAAGAATATGAGTACTTGTACTGGCTGTTATATCACCAATCACGCTTGGTTAAAACCTAATTGGATAATTTGCTAGTACGTTAAGGTATATCAACTGTTATATATATGTGTGTGTATATATATATATATATATATGTTTTATGAGTGTATCAACTGTCACCTAGAATATACTCAAAAAATTACCCCTGTAGTGTTATCTAGTTGATAAGGTTATGTATTACTTTTTAGTACAAGTAACATGTTCGAAAGTGGAGTTGAAAGTTTCATCAGCAAGCTAGCAACAAGTGTAGTACATCGTTGTACTTTGAGGCCTAAACCTAGTTTGTGATAGGAAAAAAAAAACAA